GAACTGAAGGACTGCAACGTCACATTGATTTAAACCAATGAAATTTGCTGTTGCAATAATGTACTCTTCAAAAAAGAAGATACAAAAGAACTGAGGTTAATAAAGAGAACGACTATACATTTTACGAAGTTACTACACTAAAAAATTGTCATACATATCTTTTAATTAGTATTTAAGAACAGGTAGGTTCTGTGGATTGATGATGAATATGAATTAGCACGCTCCTGTTAATGGTACGACAGTGGTTCCCTAAATAATTAATCCGGGTCCGTTCGCGCCCATTCACGTTCGCCCCCTTTCATGTTTGCATCCAGTGGCGGATCCAGGAGGGGGGTTCCGGGGTTGGAACCCCCCCTTTTTTTGGACGATCAATGCATTTGAATGGGGACATGTAGTTGGAACCCCCCCCCCTTTTGTCCTTGGTTAGGACCCCCCCCCCTTTTTTAAAATGGCTGGATCCGCCCCTGGCATCCTACACGTTCGAACGCAAAGTCTGTTTGCACCTAGTCCAAATAATTATGACGTCTTGCAAGGCTATTTTAATTTTTTTCTGTGACGCCTACCTGTCGTAGGAAGGTGTCACAGAAAAAAAATTAAAATAGCCTTGCAAGACGTCATAATTATTTGGACTAGTTTGCACCCTACACGTTCACGCCCAAATTTTATTTAAATTATCATATACTATGAAATACAAATCGTACATTGTATCTTCATATCTTTTTATTTTTTGTAATAAAAATGATTGAGTCAAAATTTTAAAAGACTGATAACCTGACAAAAGAATCTGCAAATAGGTAAATATAGAAGGGAGATAATATTTACAGTCCTACATACATATTTCATATGTAGAGAAGACTGATAACCTGAACAAGAAATTGTAAATAGGTAAACATAAAAGGGAGATAATATCTACAGTCCTACATACATATTTCATATGTAGAAAAGACAGATAACCTGAACACGAAATTGTAAATAGGTAAACATAAAAGGGAGATAATATCTACAGTCCTAGATACATATTTCGTATGTAGAGAAGACTGATAACCTTAACAAGAATTAAATAGGTAAACACAGAAGGGAGATAATATTTACAGTCCTAGATACATATTTTATATGTAGAGAAGACTGATAACCTTAACAAGAAGTTGTAAATAGGTAAATATAAAAGGGAGATAATATCTACAGTTATAGATACATATTTTATATGTAGAGAAGACTGATAACCTGAACAAGAAATTGTAAATAGGTAAATATAGAAGGGAGATAATATTTACAGTCCTAGATACATATTTTATATGGAGAGAAGACTGATAACCTTAACAAGAAACTGTAAATAGGTAAACATAGAAGGGAGATAATATTTACAGTCCTAGATACATATTATACATGTACATCTGTACTTTTGACATTAACAATAAACTTTAACACATATAGTCAGGCATACAAGGGAGATAATATTCACAGTCTTAGATATATATTATATAAATTCTGAAATTTTGAAAGTGAAATTTTTGAATGCAAATAATGTGATTGAGCAAGCATCCAATTGATGAGAACTATTCTAATATCTTATATATCTGTATGAAAGTATTTCTAAAGTGCTCTGGTCTGTCTTGCATATTTTTTATTCAAATAAGATGGCAATATTAAATGCAAGCAATAATTTCTGATTATAAACTACATTATGTTGAAAGGACTGATATGCTTTAGACCTTTACCAGAACCTTTAAACACATATAGATTTGCAACTTCAGATTCAAAATTGTGCCTAGACTCACAAGGATATTTATCGTGACATTATCATAGAAAAGTAGATTTAGATCTTTCTGTTAAAATTTTGTTTGAAATATCAATTTTTATGTATAAGTGTCAAAGTGATGGTTTATATCATTGTGATAAATGTCTTTTTAGCCTTGTGAGTTTCGTCCCTTTCTAAAATAAATTAATGTAAGTTCATATGCAATTGGGACTCATCAGTAGGCATTGCATATGATTTAAAATAAAATACTGAAATGTATATATATATGCATGCTGTTCAGTGTGAGCCTAGGCTCCCTGTTGAAAACAGTACCATGACCTATTAATGGTTTACTTTTATAGATTGTGACTTTGATGAAGAGTTGTTTCATTGGCACTCATACCACATCTTCCTTTATCTATTAACAAGAACCTGTAAATAGGTACACATAAAGGGGAGATAATATCTACAGTCCTAGATACATATTTTATATGTAAAAAGAACTGTAATGTCGTATGACAGAAATGTACACAGTCTTTGACCATGAACAGTGCTAAATATGAAAACAAATTATTTAATTTAACCAGTATAGTACGACATGTGCACATTTGGTATTTAAATCTTTAAGTGAACTCATATAAGATAAGTTAAACAAATGTCTGAGTATATTTGTTAAAAGAAACTATTCTCTTACCTCAACATTAGCCGATGTGTTATTGGTGTAATCATGATCTGAAAAAAAAATGATTTTAAACTATCAGACTTTCTTCATTCCATTTGCAGAAGCACTACAGCTTTAATATTTTTTAATCTGCTAAGTGTCTATAAGGACCAAAATTAGTACAATTAATTTTCAATTTGTAACAAAAGAATAAATAGTAGCTGCATAGGTTATAGTGCTAAGCTCATCACTGGTAAATCTCCATATAAATGCAACTAATACTTCTTCCTGATATGGGAAAGACTTCAGTGCCTGAGTGTGGAATATCCCTGATTACTTAATGAACATTTAAAACAATATATCAAAACAAACTAGAAATTTCATAACAAAAAGAGCAAAGAATACATACATCAGTAAATAAAATAATACAGCAGGAGTTGAAGGATTTAAATTGCAAAATTTAAATAATTTAGGTACCATTTGATAATACTGTGTAATCTAATAAGAATGAGAACAGACTTGAATAAAAGAAGACTTTCAATAGTATTTTCTTTATTATTAATGCAATAATTCCCAAGTTTATAACTTCTAAAAAATATTATATCAGATTGTTTCAAATTGTCAAACGTGTTGCTAAAACAAATCCCAAAAAAACAATGAATATTGTTCAATTGAGAGAATTTACTACATTGAATTTGCTTTATTGACATTTTCGTATCCAAAAGACAAACACTGCATCAAACAAAATTGAAAAGCAAAACTTTTGTAGAGGATGTAAACTCTTTTTAAGCATTTTTTTTTTCTGAAGGAGAGTTTTAAGTGTGAAAACATTTTCAATATTCAACTGGCATCCATTTCTCGTCACATATTCATTGATATAACCAGATATTTTAAAACAGACAGTATATATAATAAATATTTTATACCTTTCTGAATTTCTGGGCAGATGTCATAAAAACCATCAACTTCTTGCAAGATATTACATACAGCTTGGCAATGCAGACATTGTTTAAAAGTTGTTGAAAAAACTGTTAAAAAAAGATCATCATTAAAATCTAAGATAAATGAAAACTGACATAAGCTAATCCATACATACAGTTATTTCTCTCAAATAAGTAATTTTCATTAAAAAGGTAATAGGTTGTAATTATCATTATTAACAATACTAGACAAAGTGATGCCCCCGCCCACTCCCCTCTGAAGTATGCCCCTGCAGATGCAAAGTTTTATTTCAAAATACACAAAGTTAAACATGGGAGCACATAGTTTTATTGTTCACTGTAGGACTTCCTCTTATACAGATAAATACTCTAAAAATTACTAAGTTCAACTTTCTCCCAAAAGAGCAATTATTAACAAAAATCAAAACCTTAACCACAGGCACACAATAAGTATATGTAAAAACAGTCAGTAAAGTGAACACATCATAGCATTCAAATTGTAAGAGAAGTTTTCAGAAAATGCTATGCATCTCATATGCAAGTTTATACTGCAAAAATTACTAAGTTCAACTATCTCCCATAAAAGCAAATATCAATACCCTAACCACATGCACATCCACATGTACATCTTCAATATGTGTACAAACAGACAGCAATGTGAAAACATTAGCATTCAAACTGTAGGTGGAGAAATGCAGAATAACTATATACGCATAATAGGACAGACGGTCTACAACAGGGGTAAAACAATATGCCCTCAACTTAACTTTTACTTGCGGGGCATAAAATACTAGTTAATACGTAGAGATATATAGATATATGTTAAATCTCATGATATATAAGTATTTAATAGAAAAGATCTAAACAGAGAGTTGCTATTCATTGAGGTTTTGAGTTTCGTATTAACAGATAGATTTCAACTAACAGATAGATTTCAACAGAGAGAATCATTTGGATACCTTTATAACAAAGAGTCTAATAAGTTTGTATTGAGGTTATATATTAACTCAAAATATTACTTATAAGCAACTGTACCTTCAAAATCAGTAACAACATGGTCTGAAAGACTCTCAAGTAGTTCATGTCTATTTGGATCACAACAGCAGCTGTAAACCCATCTAACTTCATTTGAAAATGATTTTGGTTCTCGTTTAACAATGAAAAATTCTTCTTCCTATTTAAAAAAAGTATCAAAAGTTTATTCATGTTGGACAAGGAATACTGGTTATCAACTTTAATCCAACCCGTGGATCTTGGGAAAAGTCACATGTTTGTTAACTTCTAATTATTTTTTTTATCTGTAATGTAATCAGATATTTTTTTCTATCCTTCTGTCTTGTATAAATATTGCTGATAATTTAATAAACTTTGTTTTAACAACGCTTAAACTTGGATATATACTTAAAATTTATACAAATTTTAATAGTTGATATTTACTTCTTCACAAATCATTTAATCTGTACCTTTTGGTGCACGTTTGTAAATTTTTGTTTTTGTCATGATTTATTATAATGAGTTTAAATTCTCCATTTAGTATCATCTGAATGGTTGTCATTTTTCTCATGGTTTTGTTGTGTTTTCTATTATATGCATATGTTGTATGTCACATGCAAGTTTCTTTTAAAAAGTTGTGAAACATGTGCTGCACATTGTACAATACCTTAAGAACAAATTTACTGGTGTCAATGTCTGGGACAACAAAAAGTGTCAAAGATTCATCTACAGCATGAATTTGTCCACATTTCAGTAGGTGTATATATGACTCTAATTCTGATATTTCTCCAGCAACTTTGTCAGCCTGAAATAAATATATCTATATTGAAAGAGAAATTAAACATGACTTCTTATTTATTTGATACCTAAAAATACTTCATACAAATCTAGAGGGGTCATAATACTCCTTTATACACAGTACGTATATTTTGAAACTGCCTAAAATAAATCAACTTTCCAAAGATTCACTTATATATGCAATTAGGGGAAAAAAGAAGTGGGATTTTATATACAGTCATGCAGTCTTATATAGATATTGTGTTTATGATAATGACTGCTATTAATCAACTGTTACATAAATATGTAGTTAGATACATATTTTACATGTAGTGAAGACTGATAACCTGAACAAGAAACTGTAAATAGGTAATAAAATTGAGAATGGAAAATGACATAGAAGGGAGATGATATCTACAGTCCTAGATACATATTTTATATGTAGAGAAGACTGATAACCTTAACAAGAAACTGTAAATAGGTAAACATAGAAGGAAGATGATATCTACAGTCCTAGATACATATTTCGTATGTAGAGAAGACTGATAACCTTAACAAGAAACTGTAAATAGGTAAACATAGAAGGAAGATGATATCTACAGTCCTAGATACATATTTCGTATGTAGAGAAGACTGATAACCTTAACAAGAAACTGAAAATAGGTAAACATAGAAGGAAGATAATATTTACAGTCCTAGATACATATTTTATATGTAGAGAAGACTGATAACCTTAACAAGAAACTGTAAATAGGTAAACATAAAAGGGAGATAATATTTACAGTCCTAGATACATATTTTATATGTAGAGAAGACTGATAACCTTAACAAGAAACTGTAAATAGGTAAACACAGAAGGGAGATAATATTTACAGTCCTAGATACATATTTTATATGTAGAGAAGACTGATAACCTTAACAAGAATCTGTAAATAAGTAAATATAGAAGGGAGATAATATTTACAGTCCTAGATACATATTTTATATGTAGAGAAGACTGATAACCTTAACAAGAAACTGTAAATAGGTAAACACAGAAGGGAGATAATATTTACAGTCCTAGATACATATTTCGTATGTAGAGAAGACTGATAACCTTAACAAGAAACTGAAAATAGGTAAACATAGAAGGAAGATAATATTTACAGTCCTAGATACATATTTTATATGTAGAGAAGACTGATAACCTTAACAAGAAACTGTAAATAGGTAAACACAGAAGGGAGATAATATTTACAGTCCTAGATACATATTTTATATGTAGAGAAGACTGATAACCTTAACAAGAATCTGTAAATAAGTAAATATAGAAGGGAGATAATATTTACAGTCCTAGATACATAGTTTATAGGTAAAGAAGACTGATAACCTTAACAAGAATCTGCAAATAGGTAAACACAGAAGGGAGATAATATCTACAGTCCTAGATACATATTTTATATGTAGAGAAGACTGATAACCTGAACAAGAATCTGCAAATAGGTAAATATAGAAGGGAGATAATATTTACAGTCCTACATACATATTTCATATGTAGAGAAAACTGATAACCTGAACAAGAAATTGTAAATAGGTAAACATAGAAGGAAGATAATATTTACAGTCCTAGATACATATTTTATATGTAGAGAAGACTGATAACCTTAACAAGAAACTGTAAATAGGTAAACACAGAAGGGAGATAATATTTACAGTCCTAGATACATATTTTATATGTAGAGAAGACTGATAACCTTAACAAGAATCTGTAAATAAGTGAATATAGAAGGGAGATAATATTTACAGTCCTAGATACATATTTTATATGTAGAGAAGACTGATAACCTTGACAAGAAACTGTAAATAGGTAAACACAGAAGGGAGATAATATTTACAGTCCTAGATACATATTTCGTATGTAGAGAAGACTGATAACCTTAACAAGAAACTGAAAATAGGTAAACATAGAAGGAAGATAATATTTACAGTCCTAGATACATATTTTATATGTAGAGAAGACTGATAACCTTAACAAGAAACTGTAAATAGGTAAACACAGAAGGGAGATAATATTTACAGTCCTAGATACATATTTTATATGTAGAGAAGACTGATAACCTTAACAAGAATCTGTAAATAAGTAAATATAGAAGGGAGATAATATTCACAGTCCTAGATACATAGTTTATAGGTAAAGAAGACTGATAACCTTAACAAGAATCTGCAAATAGGTAAACACAGAAGGGAGATAATATCTACAGTCCTAGATACATATTTTATATGTAGAGAAGACTGATAACCTGAACAAGAAACTGCAAATAGGTAAATATAGAAGGGAGATAATATTTACAGTCCTAGATACATATTTTATATGGAGAGAAGACTGATAACCTTAACAAGAAACTGTAAATAGGTAAACATAGAAGGGAGATAATATTTACAGTCCTAGATACATATTTCATATGTAGAGAAGACTGATAACCATAACAAGAAAATGTAAATAGGTAAACACAGAAAGGAGATGTTATCTACAGTCCTAGATACATATTATACATGTACATCTGTACTTTTGACATTAACAATAAACTTTAACACATATAGTCAGGCATACAAGGGAGATAATATTCACAGTCTTAGATATATATTATACAAATTCTGAAATTTTGAATGTGAAATTTTTAAATGCAAATAATGTGATTGAGCAAGCATCCAATTGATGAGAACTATTCTTATATCTTATATATCTGTATGAAAGTATTTCTAAACTGCTATAGACTATCTTGCATATTTTTCATTCAATTAAGATGGCAATATTAAATGCAAGCAATAATTTCTGATCGTAAACTACATTATGTTGAAAGGACTGATATACTTTAGACCTTTACCAGAACCTTTAAACACATATAGATTTGCTACTTCAGATTCAAAATTGTGCCTAGACTAACAAGGATATTTATCGTGACATTATCATAGAAAAGTAGATTTAGATCTTTCTGTTAAATTTTTTTTGAAATATCAATTTTTATGTATAAGTGTCAAAAAGGTGGTTTATATTATTGTGATAAATGTCTTTTTAGCCTTGTGAGTTTCGTCCCTTTCTAAAATAAATTAATGTAAGTTCATATGCAATTGGGACTCATCAGTAGGCATATGATTTCAAAAAAAATACTGAAATGTATTTATATATGTATGTTCCTTGCAGTTTAAATATTAAAATTTAAGGGGGCTCGAGGGTATAAATACAGGATTTCACTATTTTTTTCTGTAAATGAATTTTATCCTATACTCAATAGAAAAAATTAATAAAAATATGGGGTACCCGTTCATGTAAGCTCACAATCTGTCTTCAAAAGAAACATGCATTTTTGTTGGGATTCTTTTTTCTGTTGAACATGTTGAACAAGTAGGAGAAATAAAGGAAGGTAATATCAATGAGTAAAAAAAGATATATCAATTGTGATGCAAAAAAACACACATTTTTTTTCAACAAAGGGAGATAATTTTGAGCTTTTTCAATGATATAAACATTTTAAAATTCATAATAGGCTAAAACAAATTGATTTTTTTTGGTTAATTTTTGTACCATATCATAAAGTATTGTTTTCCAAATGCAAAGAAATAAAAATAAACGTCCTAAGGCCAAATAAAAAATGATGTTTGCTTCCTATTACCCTACCCTCCCTGTTATTTAAGCTAACAAAAAGCAATCCCTAAATTTTCGAAAGGCACTGTTATAAAAGTCAGAATGTCCCTCCCATACACGAAATGTAAAAAAAAATAGTAAAATAAAAAAAATCCCTACTTACCTACATTTACCTTATAAGATGTAATAGGAAACCCTCATATTAATTTTTTTTTCAACTAACCTAAAATGATGTATAAAGGGACAATAATAACCTACTCTCTACTTTAAACCATGAGTGTAAAAAAGGGTAATAAAATTCAATGCATATTATGCAAGTTATGGCAGATGAAAAATAAGTAAATTAATCATATTTTACTTCAAATAGAAATTGTTTCGAAGCTATGATGTAGCATAAGTTGTATCAATTTCATTCAAACTCTAATTACATTGTTAGCAGGTAAGAAATCTGCTTTGAAACTGCTACTATACTCTGAATCTTCACTTGTGCCTTCACTTCCATCTGCTTGTTTCATTTTTTTACCATAATTTAAACTTCCTTTCTGTAATCTCTTACGTAGTGGCACCTTTGAAGTATCCAGAGGATCCTCTCCTTCTCTACATGAAGATTTAAACCCATGTTCAGTTTTAAATCTAGTTTTCTGAAAATACAGTTTTTATTTTTATATATATTTCAAGTCTTACTAGCATAATAAAAAGAACAAGCTTATGAGAGTATTGCGTGGCAATACACAGGGCTCACACTACTTCAGAATGATAGGGAGAAGTGACTTCTCTTTTAAAAATTCAGAGGGAAAAGTGGTGAGATTTGAAGGAGAAGCTCTTGTTTGCTCGCTGCGCTACAATCATGACAATGTTTGTTTTTTTTACTATTAATACATTAAGGGCCATTTTTTTTTATATTGTTAAATGAGGGGGGTAGGAGGGGTCCTGATCCCTAAATCCCGGGCTTAAAAACATGGAATCCAGAGGTCCCGAATTTAAAAAAATTTAAATCCCGACATCCCAAAATTCGAAAAAAGAATTCCCGGATCCCGAAAGGATCAATCCCGAAATCCCGAGCTTAAAAACACCGGATCCCGGAGTCCTGATAAAGGTCCTACCCCCTCCCTTAAATTTGTACCTGGATATACAATTAAAGTAACTGTTGTTTAATTTTGTCATATCAAGTCCTCTTGTAAAAAAAAGGCAATTAAATATCTTGCAATAATAAAAACATATATCAAAAAGGAAAAGAAAGTTGTTATATCAATTAAGCGTCAATTGAAAAACTACTTGGTTATCATGGTCATGAAATAAAGTATTTCTCATTAAAAAAATATAAAAATATAACAGTTCAGCTTGGACATTATATAATAATTTATATTAGTGTAATAGTCCCAGAGTTGAGCAACTTTAACTTATTAGTTGAAACAATACATATACATGGAAATATATATAATAATTAAGAAGATGTAACAAAAAGAATTTATATGCGTGTAGAATGCCTAATTTTTCTTTTGGGATCAATTTTTGTCTGTCATCAGTGCCATTCATGTGTTCGTAGTCATTTTCCCAACTATCCAGATTTCGGTCAAAGCGGGTTCTTTTCCGATGAAATCCCTACTACGATCTGTAGTTGTACAATAATATGCCCAATAATTTGAATAGCAGCCCCGGACGAAGAAAAATTTACAAAATAAACAATGTTTTACATGATATTGGGAAAGGATTGTGACATTTTTAATGCAAAACATGGACAACAAATTTACTTCTGTCTTTTCTGAAGAAAGTAAATCGTTTGTGCCTTGAATTACTTTAGAATTTTTAAATGATTAATTGCCCATTTAGTTGACTTGGTAAAAATTTAATATTGCTGATGACAAAAGTGACTCAAAGCGAGAATCATAAACAACATAGACACTTGTGTTTTACTTTTGAAGGTTGGGCAAAGCAAAGTGACGGAGGGGAAAGGGACTTCTTTACCCTAGTCGCCTGGTAGCGTGAGCCCTGAATATATAGTCCCATACCAGTTTAAAATGGAGCGAAGTTCTAACTTGACTATATCTTTAAGATACATGTACATGTGGATTTAGGTGGTAAGTATATTTTAACAGCCATTATTATGTACATCTAATAAACTTTGCTAATTATAGATATATGTTTGTTTATGTGTCATTTTACTTAGTTTCTTTTATTACCTATTCTGACATGAATCCGGGCCCGTTCGCGCCCATTCAGGTTCGTCAAATGTGTAGGGTGCTAACGAACCTAAGGGACGAACATATGAGGTGTGAATGTGTGGGGTGCGAAAGTGAGTTGGGCGTGAACGGACCTTATACCTTCTGACATTGACTCAAGATGCAGGATTTAATGCTTCATTGAAGAACACTTAATAGCCTTCGGCTGTTGTCTGCACTTTGGTTGGGTTATTGTCTCATTAACATATTCCCATTTCCTTTCTCAATTTTAGATATATCCATAATTTTATCAGGGAGTTGTTTACAAAGCAAAAAAAAAGCGGTCATATTATTATTACATCCAAATGTTTTATGCTACCTTGGTGTCAATCCACAAGATGGTATCCGGTCGTTCCGTCCCCAAACCGATCCGGCCCCAAGTCGATCCGGCCCAAAGTCGATCCGTCCCAAGTCGATCCGGCCCACGTCGATCCGTCCCTACGTCGATCCGGCCCCATAATAAAATATGAATAAACTATATTGACTTTGGAGGATTTTGTGACAAATTTTAACAGTATAAATGGAATTTGTAAAAAGTATCGTTGATGGATGACAACAGGTAAGTGAAGTATTGGAGTACCAGTCAAAGAATTATTTTTCATCAATACGAAAATGATTGTGATTGTGTCTGTTTGTATAGCAGCTTCAACATATTAATATGAAGTTATTTTCCATGATAACTTTGAATGTCATGGCGATTTTATTTTATTTAATTCACACACAGAATAGCTAAATAAATATTTACAGTCCAATGGAACCTATAAAATTTAACTCATCATAATGACTTGTTTAATCAAATCATTAGTCTATAATTGGTTTGTTTATTCAACAATTGTCTAATGATTGTGAACTAAGGTAATGCCACTCGAAATTACTTAATTCAATCAAATCCTGATTGATTAAAGTTACGTAATCAACAAGGTCTTTATAGTTTGATCTTTTGTTTGGTGTTATGTGTTATAATAGTTAATTGTATTTTTTCAGAATGAATATATATAGAAGTTTTTACTCTTGAAAACCATCTTATTGGCTACGAAATACAAGCTTAAAATTCTATCGAAACCTTTTTTAAATAACCAGAAATTTCTTTTGAACATGGTAACAGGAGAGACAAAATATTGCACCACCTATAAAAAAATGTTTCAATATATTCTTGTATGACATTATCAAGATTGCATCTTTTTATATGTTGTTCTATAAGTACTGTTTGTTTTGATTTGCTTATGACGAGGGTTGTTTGAATAATTTACTTTAAATCAATTTTGCAATTTAAAAATTCGACATTTTTGCATGTATCAGCTAAGGGATCGGCTTGTACCGTTGTGTATGTAACTATTTGTTATTACACAGGATGAAAGACTTGTTAAGATCACAGTCAATTGAAAGAAAATGCTAATTACTGCTGATTAGTGTTGATGTCTGGTACTAAATTCTGTTATATACGTTTTTATTATAATTATACCCAATAATCTTGAAAACTTGTAATGAAAACATAATCAACATAGTTGTTTTAAAACTCATCTAAAGAAAATATTTGTCAAAGGCCTTTTTTTTTTTACCGTACACCTTTTACATTATAATAAAATTCATAAACATTTATGAATTACAATTAATATATATCTTTATTTTTATTCCTTATAAATATATTTTTTTATTGGGCCGGATCGACTTTAAATATGGGCCGGATCGACGTTGGGCCGGATCGACGTGGGACGGATCGACTTGGGCCGGATCGACGTGGGGCCGGATCGACATGAAAGCCACAAGATACCTTCTGAATTTACCTTCATCTCAACTTGAAACCATAAAAGTCAATAGGTGAAGTGACTTTCTTATTGTATCGTTTTTCAATTTCAATTTAAAATATCCAGTACTCGATAGTTCTATTTATTAACCTAAGATTAAAATATTAATTATTTTATCTCACTTTTGAAGAGTACATTATTGCAACAGCGAATTTCATTGGTTAAAATCAATGTGACGTTGCAGTCCTTCAGTTCAGTCCAACCACTTATTTTACGCTTGCTAATACCGTAGATTTATGGTTTTATATCGACCAAAATTGAAAAATGGCAGATCTGAAATGTAGCATATTTGTTCATAAGAAAACAGAATAAAAAATGCATAAAAATAAGGAGATGTGGTATGATTGCCAATGAGGCAACTATCCACTAAAGTTCAAATGAATTTGATGTAAGCAATTATGGTCAACCGTATACGGTCTTCAACAATTAGAAAAACCCTTACCATATAGTCTGCTATAAAAGGCCCCGACATGAAAAATGTGAAACAATTCGATTGAGAAAACTAACAGCCTAATTTATAACAAAACAATTTACGAAAAATAGATAGGACAGACATGAACAAACGACAACTACTGAACTACAGGCTCAGACTACAGACTTGGGACAGGCAAACAAAATGTAGATTGCTTTTGCCTTAACAAATCTTTATATTTACGTCTGTTATGTTCCTCCATGTTCCACGTGTTTTAGTGATGTTTTCTTGAATCTAAAATCTAAAATATGTGATATTCCATAACAACAGAAAATATATGCTGCCTGGTGGTTATAATGAAGATTTTACTATTCTTAGTAATGTGATAGCCTGTTATTTTATGTATTCTGTATATTTTTATATTCTTAGTACTTGATATTAGTATATACTTGAATAAAGTTATATTGTTAGCTTATTAATTACATTTTGTAATTAAGGATTAGCATTGTGTATTATTCTATTTTAACTTATTGACATGGACTATTGACGGACGAATTCTCATCTCATGTTTTGGTTAAGTCTGATTTCACTGTAGTTGGTACTTTATTTTCACGGTTGATTTGAGCGCTATCGTACATTTCTTCTATTGGTCAGTACTTTTGGCGGTTTAATTCCTTTGTTCTAGATCTTATGGGAAGACATCTTGTGGTCAACACCTATATATTTACCTGTCTGCAATTTAACAACTTAAAGAAATTAATATCTGTTAAATAACAATTCTGTGATTGGAAAGTTTCTTATATAAGGTCAGTCTTATTCTTTCTTTATTAATTTTGCAATAACTGTCCAATAGTTCATATTTTACACGTATGAATGTTTAGATTGAATGTCGAGAACGAGTGTTAAATTTTATAACAAAAGAGATCGTAAATGTATTTAAAACATAAGAAGAGTAGAATTTTACGATCAGATATAATAATACTTCATTAACCTATTTAAATCTGGTATAATAATTTAAAGATAAAACTTTACGTATAAAAACTGAATGAATGCACGTATCGAGCGGCCCGGTATGAATGCGGTAATTTTTAAAGGTTAATCGAATTAAAGTAAATATATCTTAGAGCTAAAAATAGATATCTAGGTTTAGTATTGATTTTTATAGTAAACATGAGTTTGTACTATAAACAATAAATAATGCTTAACAGAGATTTATAATAATAATTTTTCTTATACAGGTATATTTAACCTTACCAAAGATGTAGTGTTTGTTTATGTAATGGTTTATATGGAAATGTGCCACTTGCACGATATGTGAGGTAAGCTAAGTGTATTTGTATTCTTGTTTCGCTTAGCTTTAGTTTTTAATATTTGCTTTGCTATATTGCTACTTTTTGTGCTTATTTGCTTTTTGATTTAATCAAGCACGCAGCTTACGTTTTTGTGTAGTTTATGTTACCAACACAAGTAATATTTATAATAGACATTGGTATGAGACAGCATATGAGAACATGTACTATAATATCTAAGTCTAATTGGTATAACTGTAATTGAGACAAGTAATGGCTATTGTATCCACAGTATATATTTTTGTGACTAGATACATAAGTATGCAGCTAAATAAGTTTGCATGATAATGAATTACGAACATTAGTTTTAATTATTACTTAGTAAACAGATTTATCTATCTGTAACTTATAAGTACATTTATATTTTACAGGGCTGTATTTACATATTCATATAGTTACTTCGTTTTCGTCTGAGAAATAAAAGTTACAGAACCCTAGATTGAAGTTAGTTATTTATTATTAAAAGCCTGAGGAAAACCGGCTTTTACATTGGCGCCCAACGTACTTAGGAGCTTTATTCAGCGACGAAGTAGAAACCAAGAATATATTCTGAACTGACAACGACAGTGAATTCGTACGGAAAAATTACATACGCAATACCGGAAACTGATCAGTGACGTATATCAACATAATCGGTTCATGAACTAGGACGACAAAGAACACATTTTTCGTTGGATTCATCTTGATCAACAAACATTATTGCTGAATTTATTGAACATATTAGTATTATAGTAAGTTCATATATACTTATAATTAATTGCCTGATAATATACATTGTATAAATCTAGTTGTGTAGCATTTATCGTATGTAGAGACTTTAAAATAATTGAAATTGTTGTTTGAAAAATTTGTCCAATTTTTATTTTGTAAACATTACACACCGAAAAGCGTTAGCATTACTGACACTGAGTTAACATAAAACTCAATTGAAAACAAGCATACAAGTGTCCTTTATTGAGATTTAATTCATATTTAGACATTTACATTAAGACTTTGTACTTTGTTTATTTGTTTGTTGATACTTGACCCCCCCCCCCCCCCATCCATAAAAAAGACCACACCCATAGATATAAGGTCAAGGTCAACCGGAAGTACACTTGATAAAGCTGTCTAGACATACACCACATGTAAACAAACACATTTATTTATACACAGAGAGTGACATACATTTAGAATTGGTATTTTGCATTGAATATTATACACATTGATTGTGTTTGAAATATTTATGTCACATTAAAGCAAAACCAGACTTTGTTGATTTACGCATACACTTTGATAAGTGAATAAAGTCCAACTTTGTTTAACACACATACATACATACATAGGGTTCTTAGATATTGATTAATATTAACAAAAATAAATTCAGATTTTGTGAATTTTTGTTGTGTGTATATGATATTTTTTTGTGTGTGACTTTGTTTATTATCATTGTGTCATTTGTGTTTTATGTTGATTGTGCATAGTCCTATGTAGTATATAATTGTTTACATGTTTTAGTGTTGTATACTGTACATTGTGTTGTGTTGATTAGTATATTTGTTTGTGAATTTAAAATTTCAGATTTAATTTAAAATTTAAAATTTAATTTTCAATTTAAATTTAGAAACATCAGATAAATTTATCATACAAGTTAAACATTTAAATAGTAACTTAATATATTAAAAGTTAAAATTTGTACGCATAGTAGTTAAACTTTAAACTTGTGATAATGCGCATGCGTCGGGCGCCTTAGACGAACTTCAATTTGCTCCTGATATTTTCTGAGTTTAAAGGCTTTAAGTTACAAAGATACCATCTTTTTGACACGAAAAACATTTGATAACTATATAGTAGTGAACTAATTCTAAATGTAGAAAACAAAACTCTTTAAATACCTTTCTTGCATATCAGCTGTGAGTACTCGTGAAAACTTGTCACGTACACCACTTCCGGTTAATAAAAAGGTAAACATTCAACAAATCGCATACTAACTTGCTTTAGTTCTGCTTTACTTTTCATGTACTAATATTGCTCATTTGTCAAGTTCATTGTCCTCGTGGGTAGCAACACGAGTCCAGTATAACAAATCATTATTTACTAACGCTTATATTCAATTATTGTCTCACTATCTATGTTCGAGCACATCATATTAATAAACAGTTATAAACAGTTTACCAATAAAATGTCTTTATTTAGTACAGTACTCACACTGATTACGATCTATTGTGTGTGTCATGAAGAAGATCAACAGTTTGTGTCATTGCATAATGGCAAAACTACAGGAAGGTCACCCTTTATCAAATCTTACCCAAAAGACAGTGAAGATCATCATGCTTTGTTATTTGCTCCAAAAATTACCATTACAGAGAACAAATTTGTATCCATGTATTTTTGGTTATATCATTCATGCAAAATACATTGCTGCAATAAAGCATTACACGCAACTTTGAAAAACCACCACTTGCTGCTAAAAATTTTATTAAGCGGCCAAATTGAACTCAACCCAGGCCCTAGAATGCCACGCTGGCCATGTGGTTCATGTGGAAAAAATGTCACTTGGAAATGTAAAGCTTTAGAGTGCGACTCTTGTAAAACTTGGTATCACGTAGACTGTCAAGGAGGTATGCAAACTACAATGTATAACATAATGGACAACAGTAACCTGTCCTGGAATTGTATTAAATGTGGACTACCAAACTTTAGCAGTTCATTTTTTAACCATACTGACCTATCATCATCTGTCACAAACAATTCTTTTTCGTTGTTAAGTGACATTGGTAGTCCTGGACAGCCACATGCTTGTTCATCACCAATATCACAAAAGGACACCAGAAAACAAAACAAAAAAGGTACAAATACCCAAAATAAGTTACTCAGACCTTTAAAAATAGTAAATATTAACTTCCAGTCTATTAAGAACAAAAAACCAGAAGTAGATATTCTGATCGATACCACACAGCCTGATATAATAATAGGTACTGAAACCTGGTTAGATCCTAAAACATCATCTTATGAATATTTTTCAAAAGATCAATACACGGTATTTAGAAAAGATAGACCACCAAATAAAATAGGCCAATGTCATGGAGGCGTACTCATAGCTATATCAAATAATTTTTTATGTACAGAAATCAAAGAACTAGACACAGGATGTGAAATGATATGGGTAGATCTTTTAATATCAAATGCACGTAAATGTTATATATGTGCTTATTATCGACCTCAGCCAGATGATGATACATCTTTAGATTTGCTAAATGAATCAATAAGTAGAATAAACGCCAGCTCAAAGTCAGCCATAATTATTGGTGGGGACTTTAATTTAGGGAACATCAATTGGGAA